AGCCAAATTTCATAATTAGCGTTGCATGGTCTTCGGCGGCTACTGTAGTACGGTATGAGCGGTCACAGGTCAACCGGCGGAAAAGTCGCTATTAGTCTTAACCGGAAAAGAGTATAATAAGATAGTATTGCTGGCAAAGACAAAGGATCCTAGAATTCATATTTATGGCTTTTTAGCCGTCGTCAGCCAGTCATACCCACCCCCAAGTGGTGCATAACACGGGACTCGAACTAGTATTTTATTCGATCATAGACTCTTCCAGGCAGTCGCGAGATTATGTTTGATCGGGACTCGGCGAAAAGCCTATCTTATAAGCAGCTCGAAAATGCCAAACAACTTCATCCGGCGTGTTTTAGCGCATAGAATGGTGTGTAAATATTCGTCAATTAATAGCTATCATACATTTCTCATTAACCAAACGAACATCATGCATTATCCAATTTATGCGTATAGTTAGTAACACGATAATACTGTTTATGTTTTACTTCTATCAGGCACACTACCGGAAGTGGCTGAATTTCTGAAGCAGCATAACGGCGAAGAGCAGATCATTGTGCGAATGCGTGGTCTTCCCTTCACAGCAAAGAAACAAGATATAGTGAGTTTATGTCTTAAGTAAACTGGCCTCCCGTCTTACATGCATTCGTCTTGACAAGAGTGGAGATACCTCTGAATATTCGTTATAACATTCAGAGTGTTAGTTCGTCGACTGGGATGGACGCTCCGAGATACCTCCAGATTTGTACTGCAGTAAGATAACTTAAAAGGGTGTACGCATGCAGTGATAGCAATCATTCGGTAACAGCCTATTACAGGTACCACAATGGACACGAAGCTCCAGAATTTAGTTATACAGCACCAGTGGTACTGGAGTTTTTAGCTGTAAGGCGTTACGGGGCTTAGAAGAAAAAAACCAAATTATATTATTCAGTATATATAAGGGAAATAGGCAGAGCCTTTGAGAACTCTGTTTAAATATAGATTCTGACAGGTCATGCATCCGTTTCAGAGCCGTATGCATCGCCAGCAACGTTACGCTGATAAAATCCTGACGCAGGCTGTGGAGGGCAGGGTGTGTGTGGCACACGTGAGCGGCTTGTTCGGTTTAGTCAACCACTGCTCTGAGAATGCCACCGATCCTTTGACACAGCCTTGCAGCGAGCCTACTGCTGCGCGCTACGCTCGCTACTCACGGCTGTTAGCACACGCACCAATGTCTGCTTTTTCCAATCCAGTCTGGCTACTTTTCTTCTTGTAGCTGACCTACGCAAAGTCCGCGGTGCAGACGCTGCAATGACTGCCGCGCTTTCACATTTCGGATTCCTCACGGCCTAACGCACACTATCCCGGTCGCCAACGTCCATTTACCTATTCTCCCTTACCTCTGTACAAAATATACTCTCCCTCCCACCGGTCGTCCCACTGCTTCTTTTTCCGCATGGAATCGCAGCATCAGGGTTCTTCCCTATGAACTGAAACCACTGCGAGGGTCTTGCCACGAGGGTTCGGGTGCATGCGCACAACCTGCCTCACTTAGACGTTTTTCTATCTTAGAAACCGTCTTGCACATACTCCTAGGTCAACGTGGAGGACATAGTTATCAGAAGGGGTCGAAATGAGGATGTAAAAAAGTAGATTTTGTCTCTCATCCCACGTCGCAGAGCGTTAATTGGGTCATCTAGTCTTAGACAGCGACCCTGTGTTCATAAGCCAATTTGAGGTCGGGTTGCTTGTCCCGAGAATAGTGACTTCCCATGAAAGGACTCTTGTTAATTTTAGATCGACTTCTTTTGTGGAGTCCAAGCAGACATTCTTGGCGGCTCTGATGGAATTTTCTTTGTGAATTACGGAGGCAAGAGGCCAACTGGAGACGCCTTCGTGATCTTCCCCAGTGGTGAAATTGCAGACAGAGGTTTGGCACTACACAAATGCTACCTTGGTCAACGATATGTGGAATTGTTTAAAGCTTCGCCGTCAGAGCTTGTACAGGTACTTCTTGTACTGCTTTGATTTCACTTAGTTTTTGTCAGAGTAACTTGCATTGAAACCTTACCTATTTTTGAATCAAGTACTTTCTAACGGAATCATTAGCTGTGATCTGATAACTTCGTTGAGACATTTATGTGACTTCTGATGACAGACGTAGTCCTCAGTCTTCCATTACTTAAAATCATCTGAGCATTTACACGTCTGCTTCTTTCGCATATGTACGAATGCATTGATTCACTTGACAAGATTAGCTTATCCAAATCTGTTTACTAAAGGTCATCATTACCTCAAGGGGATGCCAGGATGCAAAACAAGTTCGTTGAGAGCAATTAAGCGGTCTCAAATTCCGAATACTTAACTCCATTTAGGAGTTCCTCTCAGTTCACAAAAGCCACGATTCAAAAACATCGGCGTGCTGATCACAGCTAACGCCGGGAGCCAAACTTGATATTTTACAGTGACCGGGCCCTCACAACATAGATAAAACTGGTCAAAAACGATCGCATCGGTAGTAGTTATCAGCATCTCTGGCTTTCTTATCTCCTTAAAGTGGTTAAGGACATAGAACCTGGTGAATGCTGTCGGTCAGCTCCAGGAATGCTGCAACACAAGAAAACAGTTCAAGTGTAGCCAGTGGTGGAAGTCAACGTGTTTTCTTAATTTTCCAAACGTTGAATGCGTCTTTTAAATAGGCTATCCACTTTAGCATAATTATCTCTTTCATCATCATCTCGGTAATTTCAATTCACAAAAAGAAAAAGAACTTCGCTTTTATAACGTCCTTCACTGTCATATTCAACTACACTTGGCCGGCCCTCTTTGAAGGCTAGATAATTTCAACTAAGCCTATACTATCTATCTATGACTAAAACTATCGTGCCCTTTAGAGCATTCTCAAGCCCATAATATGCTGGCTGCTGAGTGGCAGCTGACCCAGCTCGAGAGCTAGTCCCAAAGCAGAATGGAACATGTTATTTTCCTACCCGTTCAGCAACGTCCATTTACAATCGGGGTGTCAGTTGAGGTTGGGTTTGACGGCTAATAGGGCCAAGATGCTCATCTCTGTTTCCCTTGCCTTTGTCGATAATGGCCTTCCACCATTGCGAATGTATATTTATGTATATATGTGTGCCCTATAAACGGGCCACGTGGAAACTACGCTGGACAAACATGGGGACCAAATTAGGTCGTGAAAAGCACTAAACCGGTTGCGCTCCTATGAACAAAGTGTGAAGCATGGAGGAAGGAGCGTTAATCGCACGCGCAGGTGCAGACTCAGGCATCAGCGGCCCGCAATC